GTGTGTATATATATCTTAGTTGTGTGTATTCACCTACATACACAACACACAAAGTAAAAAGTCGGTAGAATTGAGAAATAGATATAATTATATATAATAGAATTACAAAAGAGAAGCAATTACCAAAATATGTGAGATCCAAGAAAAACAGGAGAAACATCTCATGGCTATAGTTGTACACATGTATCATTGATAAATAAGTTTAGAAAACGGATTTATGACCAGCGACGCAAGAATAAAGGTATACCTATTGCGCGTCGGTCAATGGCCGACGCGAGATTTTCGCGATGTAATCCGCATGACCCTCTTCTCCTCCTTACATGTAGAGACTTCACATAAGGGGTTAATAATATGAGTAGCCGGTACCATTATCACGCTTTCAGTTGGTCTGCAACCTCTGATGTCGCAGTATCATTATTTCATATTGATAGTAGCCTCTCTGTTCGTAGAAGAAAACTTCCTTGCAAGGAAGTGTGTTTTTCCTTAACATGCTTGTGATGTGATTGTTAGAAATCTTTTCGAAAATATATAACGTCGATTGTATCAATCAGTGTGAATCGAGATACATTTATAACAATGGATAAACTATTAAATGTATTTTGTGTGCTTTTCTGTCTATTCCGCTTTCAAGTCTGCGAAAGTGTTGCAATTACTAATCGGTAAAAAAAAGTCATATATTATTATATGGTCATTACTATGAAAGTCACACATTATTATATGATCATGTTTTACCTCATAATGTAATACCGAATATCCCTTTTTTTATTACATTACGAGAACAGTTGTGTGTGTGTGCGTGTATGAGAGAGAGAGAAAGAGAGAGAGAGAGAGAGAGAGAGAGAGAGAGAGAGAGAAAGAAAGAAAGAAAAAGAGAGAGAAAATAGAGGAAGAGGAAAATTATACTATAATAATCGCATTTATTTAATCATAGCTACGCATTGATTTTTTTGCAATTAACGTATAAAGAGGCTATTGAATAGGTCATTCAGATATAACCACGCAATAAAAAAATTTCTTTGAAAAATATGTAAAATCATTTCTTTTTATCTTTTTCATCGAATATTACAAGATCTTATAATTAATATAATTAATATAATGTGTTTTAATTACATATACAAATTACATATTTACTTTTATAACAATTAATAAAAAGTTTTAGGCTCTAGAGGTTTAAAACTAACAATATGTAAACGGTCAATGACAGCCTTACGCTGGATGTTAGTTGCAAAATAAATATATATATATATATATTTATTTATTTATTTATTTCACGACAAACATCCAGCGCAAGGCTCTCATTAACCGTTTACGTATTGTTAGATTTAATTTTATATTTAAATGATCAAAATTCAACATATATACCACACATAGTTATTATATTTTGCTTTGCCGTCTAACTTATATAATCCTGTTATATCTTTAGAGGATACGTATTTACTGCACCAAAACGGTTCTTAGCCGGCGAAATCGAGAGTAGCTGTTTATCGCTACACAATCTCGAGCCGCCGGCGCATGTTTTTCTGGAGCTACTGTATCCATCGTCACCGGACACAAACGCAGAAGACGAAGTACTCGCTAAAACAAGCAGCGTCATTTACACAGGCAAGCGTTTTTCTTCATTAGATTTTTCGACTCAACAATATACAATTTACACGTGTTTAAAATAATATATTAAAATAAAAACAAAACAATATCTATAATAGATATTGTTTTTTTGACTGATATATTTTCGTGATGTTATTTTTCTACATAAAATGTTACTTTTGATGAACAAAGCACGCACATTAAGCAAAATTATTACATATGTAATATGTATTGAAAAAAAATCAATCAATAAATCGCTCGTGAAATAGTCATAAATTGAGTTTAAGGGCCGATACGAGCAGTAAATACAAGCTGGTCGTGTATGAGAATAAGTCTTTATTAAATAAACAGACGTTTCGATCACAGTTTTGGACCTTCTTCAGTGTAATTTAAAATTAGAATCCACGCGAGCAAACAGCATCCATGATAAAGTTGGAAGATGATTTTTAAAAAAAAATCATCTTCGCAATCTTTCGAATCGTTATTTTTTGTATTTAGTAGTTATACAAAACTAACGTTTGGACCTAATATATATATACATTTTTATTGCTCTTTGTATACAGACTTTGTACTAAATATAATTAGTTATTTAAATACAATCGGATGGATGATCGCAAACTCTCAACACACGATGTGATCATGAAAGACAACTAAAAGAAAATATATAATAACTCTTCTACTATACTATAAGGAAAAAAATAACAAAGAATCGATCTTATATTTCTATCAAAATCGTTAGTTTTGGTCCCAAAAAAGTCCTAGTTACGCCCCAAGATCAGACCCTCTTTCCTCTCTTTCACTTCACTTCGAATTGGACGCTTTAAACAAATCGCAAGTTGAAATTGTCGCTTCCTGCAGGGGAGCTAAATAAGCCGAGACTCTTGCCGAAGGGGAAATAACTAATCGCTGAAATCACATGAGAAACTTATCTGCATTGTTATATACGAAACAATAAGAAATATGTAGTTCCATTAAGATCCAATTATATATATATACTTATTATGTATATGTTATTAATACTTATATATGTTAGATATTCGTGAAGTTATATTGATGAATCTAATATATATATAATTACACAACTATTTGAGAAATAATTATCATTTGAGTAACAACTACAACAATTCTGTGCAGTTATATTATTTATTTGTTATTTTCATCTTTTTCATAATTCTGTCTGTACTTATGAAAAGTAAGTAGAATTATCTTTTTCTTTGTAGTGATTTTATTTTTATATTTATTTTTGTTGCAGGAATAGAAACATGTCTGGACCTTGCGGTACCCTTTACGGAGCATTATATTTGTCGATTGCGATTGAAAATCAAGTTCGATAAATATCCCGATTATGTTGTGGAGACGGAAAAAGCAGTCTACATCGAGCAAGATCCGATAATCACATTTGTGGAGACGGACAAGCCGGTTTACAAACCAGGGCAAGATGTGAACATTAGAATCCTTATGCTCAATCACGACTTAAAACCATGGAAGAAAACGGTTAGCTTTTTACAAATTCTAAGCAATATTTTTTTGATTGCTTAAATTGTTGAAATAATAAAACCAGAAACAAAGTCTAAAAATATAATGATTTTTTGTAATGTATCAAAAATTATATATATATCTTCCTATTGTTAGATACCGAAAGTATGGATTGAGAATCCGTCTGAAGTACGAGTGACTCAATGGACAAACGTCAGCACTGAAAATGGACTCGTACAATTAAAATTTGCTTTATCTCCGGAACCAAGTCTAGTAAAACCTGAACAATTTTTGTTATTCGCATTATCTCATCAAATAAGTAAAAAGAACAGTAAATAAAAAGATTGATATGGATTTTTGTATGCTGCAGGGTAAATGGGAAATTAAAGTAGAGAAAACAAGATTACAACCACAACTAATCCATAATATCGCATTTGAAGTGAAGAAATACGTTCTTCCGAGATTCCAAGTAACCATAACTTCACCGCGATATATTCTCGCGGATGCGGAGAATGTTACATGGAACATATGCGCAAAGTAAAAATACTTATATTGAATAAAATACGTTAAACGCGTTTGTTATATTTTTATACAAAACATTATCTTATACACATACATATATATTACATGATATTTGCAGATATAGTTACGGCAAACCGGTCAAAGGTAAATTATCTTTAAAATCGACACCTGAAATACCAACATGGAGACGAAAACCTAATCTGACAGAAATACACTATGAAACAAAGGTAAAAGAAAACTAAAATATAGGTGCGCGGAGTTAGATAACGGATAATTAATCGATTGTTACAGATGGATTCACCGGATGGTTGCACCGAATTTGTATTGTCAGGTGCTGTGCTTGGATTGGCTCAGTGGAAAGTAGCACCGAACAATATCGTTCTCATAGCTAACTTTACCGAAGCTGGCACCGGCATAGTGGAGCAGTCAATCAGTCAGACGGTAGTTGTGCATCAAGCTCTGAAGCTTGAATTTCTGCCTTACACACCCAAGTACTTTAAATTGGGCTTACCGTATCACGGAAAGGTAAAGATCACGCGAGTAACTAATTATGGTAGCTCATCTTTTTATTCTCTTTATATAAATCTTTTAATAAAATAGAAAGTCAAATCTAATTTTATTCCTGCTGCATATAAATTTGACATGTCTTTTTTCGAACATAAATACATATTTATTTGTTACAGCTGCACGTCTCGCGACATGACGATACTCCTGCACCTCACGAGAAAATTCAGCTTTGCGTGCGGGTACGCGGTAAAGACGAGTGGCTTCGCGTGGTAGTGGAATGTCGCGATTTTATATCCTCGTCCGACGGGTTCGTCGACTTTGTCGTGCCACCTCCGCATAGAAATATTGTCTTATTAAGTTTCGTTGCTACCGCTATCAACTATCCCACTAAATATTACTCACCGGATACACGTTGGCGAGTACGTAGAAATATGATTTACTCAACAAGCTTGCAATGTTTTTATAATTACAAAAAAATAAAATAAGTAAAATTTTTTATAAATTTGTTATAAATTTTAATTAGGTTTTTATGGATCAACCATCAGCGCATATCGACGTAAACCCTTGGTATTCACCATCAGACAGTTATTTGACCGTAGCCCAAGGATATCAACCAATCATTTGTGGTGAAAAGTACTCTTTTAATGTTATGTACACCGTATCAGCAAAGAGTAAAATCAACGAATCAATTTCCTTTCATTATTCGGTTAATTCTAAAGGGGATTTATTAATATACGGTCATGTAAAACACCGACCAACAAAAGACACAATTTTAGATTATTCGGAATTTCGAAACTTGTTGGGCGCTATTGAAACGTCAGGAAATAAAACGAATCAAGACACTGTCATTCACAGGTAACAGATTTACTTGGCAAATGTAAAACTCTCTCTCTCTCTTTCTCTCAAGTTTAGATATCAAAAGCAAACTGGACATTGTTAAAATGTTTTTATTATATTTCTTGTTCTTCAAGATTTCCTCTCAGTGTCAAAATCACTCCTTCTATGGCACCTGTATCCGAATTGTTACTCTATTATGTTCGTTCGGATGGAGAAGTTGTCGCTACTACGTACTCAATCAAAGTGGGACCTTGTTTTCTGAATAAAGTAAAAACTGCTTGGCACACAGATGTTCAGACTCCAGGAACACCTACTCAATATCACGTGGAAGCTGGTCCTTGGTCTTTGTGTGGCATCTCAGCAGTCGACAAATCGACAAGTTTCTTAGGATCTAAAGCAAATCTTGTCGATGCCGATCAAACTTTTGAACAACTGAAGAGATTTCATATTGAATCTCAGCCGCGCCCTATTTGGGACTGCAAAGGTATACATTATATATATATACCCTGATAGCCACCTGTCTGTTTTTGCTGTCATGTTGCCAAAAACAAAGCGTTTGAGTTTTCAACAAACTTAGAACAAGATGAGTTAGCATGTCTTTAGTTTGACATCAGACGTACAACATGTGTCAACATGTGTTGCCGACAACTTGCCGTGTATTTGTTGTCAACGGTTTATCACTAACATAAAAAGCAATATGACAACAAGTTGCCAACAACACGTGCCAAGTCATAAATTTCAGCAAAAATGCAATATGTCGAAAACGGATGAATATACAACGGGTGATTCAAAACAACCTTTTATCCTTGAAAATACATATTCTTGACTAAATTTTAGAACACCTGTTTATTTGTCAAAATTTTATCTAAAGCTTACTTTTGGAGTTATTAATAAAAATAGGTAAGGTGACTTACCACGAGTCGGATACAAGAGGTAGGCAGGGGCGGCGCAACTCACCGTGATTGACAGTGATTTATTTGATGCACGGATTAAGTGATACAAATTACAAATAAATAAATAAATAAGTGAGAGAAAAAGAAAGAAAGAGACAGAGACAGAGACAGATACAGAAACAGTGTGTAGCGATTAGCTGATCGCGTCAGGTCACCACATGTAATCGTCCGCATCTGACGGTGAGTTGCGCCACCTCTGCCTACCTCTTGTATCCGACTCGTGGTAAGTCACCTATTTTTATTAATAACTCAAAAAGCTTCAGACAAAATTTTGTCAAATTTAAAGTTGTTTCAGAATTTAGTCAAGAATATATATTTTCAAGGATAAAGGGTTGTTCCGAATATCACTCTGTATATATTTAATGGCACATTGTTTTGTGGAAGGGGAATTTTATTCGAATTGATCTGTAAAGGTCTGATTCAGTTCGCGCGATCACAACTGATTAACTGATGAAAGATACCGAGCACGGAAAAAATCCTAAAGGTAACGGTGGGATTTGAACTCGAGATCTCTATATTCGCAGCCGCTGCACTCAGTCCGCGAGACCACTTGTTCCTTACTAACAATAAAATGTAATTATGTTTATCTACTTATTCTCAAGCTATCCTGGAAATTGTATTTATTAGTTAAATTATTATTTTATTTAAAATATTGCAGTGCAATGTATCTGCAACAATGGATAAAAATATTTATTTTACTATTATTAAATATAATTTAAAATATATTTTTATATACAACACGAACAAATGTTTTGTTTACATATACTGATTATTATAGTCAATTCTTAGTAAATATATAACAAATGATATACATGAAAATATGTATACACACATTTATATGTATCTTTTTTTATTATATAATTATTATTATATAGTAAAACTGTTATACGCACACAAAGTGTGTTGTGCTTACTCTCTGTGATTGGCCTTTTCCTGTAAATCTATTGGAAATATGAAATTAAATACCAATGACAAGCAACAATCGCAAAACGCTTAATAAGCGCTAAGTTCTGCCGAGCGCAGCGGCCGACTTCTTCTTTGTGTCCGACGCGACGCAAGATAGAGGTATGTTTTTTTATAAAAGAAAAATAAAATAATATGTTTCAACAGTTACAGCAACAACGGTAACAACCATACGACAGAAATACAGACATTGGTGTCTTGTTCTGTTACCATCATGTTGCTCCTATGTTGCCGAAAATAAATGACAAAGTGAAGAGTTTTCCATGAATGGAAGTCATTTTGTTGACAACATAATGAGCAACAGTTGCTCTTCGTTTGCTCTAAATTTGCTGACACGAAATGTCTCAACTTTGTCTTCGTGTTGTTGATTACGTATGATTATGCATTAGGTTTTTAGCAAATACACAGCAACTAATCGAAAACTTTTGCTTAGCATTAAGTTACATGATTTTACAAAACATGCTTAGCTATCAGGGTATATATGTATATACCCAGATAGCCAAATGTGAAAACTCAATATAAAGCAAATCATTGTATAGATTAAGTTGCTCGCCAATTGCAGTTGTGTTGTTTTTTTTATTTAACGCAACGAAAATGTTTTTGTCAATTCAATATCAATATGCTGAGTTTTATTATCAATCAATTGTTGTAGCCAATATTTAGGACATGTAAGTCAGCAATATGTGAGCAATATATGAGCAATAATTTTTATTCATAAGTTGAGAAAAATAATATAAGTTTATTGCCGATGAGTTGTTGAGAACTTGCTGTTATTATATTTTGAAAACTGTTGTTGGCAAGAACATACTGAAAAGAGGATACACCCTTTTGTTACAGTGCTGAAAACATATGAGTAATATTTGTGGCAAGTTGCCAATAACTTGCACTCAGTTGGCTATCTGGGTATAACTATAATTATAAGTAAATAAAAACAAAGACATGTAAATTCTTTACAGCTACGACATCACAAGGAATTAACACCGAGGAAATCGATCACTTACCAATTCCCGCATTCCAGCTACCATTACTTGATCGTAGAATAAGAAGGAGCTTAATCAGACGCACGGATGTAAATTACGTGGATGCTATACAAGCGTTTGATGTGAGAACTTTCTGGAAATGTAAATAATTCTGAGATAATAAAAAAGATAATTATACATAATTTCTGCTTTTTCTCCATGTTTTCAGGATTTTGGAGTTGTTGTAATGAGCGATTTGATGCTCGAAACACGGCCGTGCTCCGAAATTTATGATCGTTGGGATAGAGGTAGAAGCATGCTCTTCAATATACTTATGCCGCAAGATATAAGAACGGATATGGAACAGGGAGGTGCGTTTAGACGAAATTGCATTGCAAAAGAAATTCTTTTATTCATAAGCATGATTTCAATTAAAATGTTATATAAATCTCATACATGTGTGTGATGTGTTGTGTATTTTTTTTTAAATTATGTACATTACCTACACACACACGTATAATTTTGCAGGAATTCAATTCATGAAAACATTACCAATGGCTTTCCCATTATTAAACGTGGGACCCGAGCAAGGATATGTTGATCAAGTACCCAATCCACCTGCACCTCTAAGATCTTATTTTCCTGAAACGTGGCTATGGGAATTAGTGCCGACTGGGTATTTTAATTTGTGAAATATATTTATTAATCCTCTGTCATTTTCTCTTTGTTGCAATTCACGTTAGATACACTAGGTCGGCAAATGTTGTTTTTTCCTTTTGTAGAAAGGAAGGCAAAGTGACTATAGAACGTACTCTACCTCATACTATTACTGATTGGGTCGGGTACACTACATGCATTTCACCTACACGTGGTCTCGGAATAGCACCACCGATCAGTATCACAGGATTTCAACCATTCTTTCTTGATTATAGCTTACCTTACAGCGTAAAGCGGGGAGAAATGTTACGTATGAAAGTGTCTTTATTCAATTACATGCAGCATAGTTTACCAGTGAGTTTAAAATAAAAACAATCGTGATTAATCGATTAAATAATAATCATCGATTATTCAATGGTTGGTCTTTTAGGTAACGATTAAATTGGAGGACGCAACAGGGCTCGACTTGCATCTGTCGTATGTAGCTGCCTCGTTCTGCGTAGAACCTCGGGACAGCGTGGTGCAAGAATATATTCTCAGACCGCGAGTTCTCGGCGATGTTAACATTACAGTTTCTGCTTCGATTGACTCAGATTACGCAGAACCGTGTGGTCCAGAAGTACTTCTTTATACACGGTAAACTTATTTTCTAAATTCTGATTTAATTTTTAGGGATAATGATGTTTTTGAGATAATATTGAATTTTTATATTAGAAATTATGGAAATTAGATATTTTTCTCAGATTTTGTTTTCAACTTGTATACTTCAGGGATGTGATTGTAAAACCGATACTAGTGCTACCGGAAGGATTTCCCGTAGAAGTGACCAAATCGGCGTTTATCTGCCCGAAAAACTTTAGCGATGATTCTACTATTAGCTGGAATCTGGACTTGCCCAAAGATGTAGTGCCCGAAAGCGCGAGGGCATATGTATCTTTGATAGGGAATATTTTGGGTCCGGCCTTTGAAAATCTGGACAATCTTGTTCGTTTACCAATGGGCTGCGGTGAGCAAAACATGGTCCTTTTTGTCCCTAACATCTATGTAATCGGCTACTTAGACGCGACTGGAATTCAGAACTCAGAGCTGAGAGCAAAAGCAGTTAAAAATATGAAAAAAGGTAGGCGTTGTTTATCTATAATTATAATTTGCAATAGAATAGATTTTACGTAACTTAATTTTATATTATATAGGATATCAGCGTGAGTTAATATACAGACATTCAGATGGTTCGTACTCGGCGTTTGGTTCAGACCATTCGGAAAGTTCGATCTGGCTCACTGCGTTTGTAATAAAATCGTTTGCTCAAGCAAAAAATATAATTTATATTGATGAGCGAGATCTGAAAATTTCTGTTAAATGGATGGTGAAGAAGCAATTGGAAAATGGATGTTTTCCTGTAATAGGCAGAGTATTTCATAAGGATATGAAGGTATGCAATATATATAACATATTTTCATCTTCTTTTTCTGTCTTAAAATAATACAGTTCTATCAAATATAAAATTCCTAACCGTGTTTTTAGGGTGGTTTGCAAGATGATGATAGTTCTTCCTCCGCGTTGACGGCGTATATACTGATTTCTCTCTTAGAATCAGGCGTACCGTTAACACCGTCGTTAATTAATAACGCTTTACATTGTCTAGAAAAGGGAATGGAGAACGGTGGTACAACATATACAGTAGCTTTATCTACCTATGCTTTGACGTTACTGGGTCATTCTAAAGCAAATAACAGCATAAAATTATTAATGAATCGTGCAACGCGGAATCCAGTATGAACAAAACTTTATTCTAACATTTAGAAATAGCATATACATATACATATATACATATATATGTGTATATATATATACCCAGCAAACATTTCGGTCACAGAACCATATCCATCTGTGTCCTCAGTAGGATATGGTTTGTTAATCATGTCT